TTCACCTGGGAGACCGTCAAGGTGCTCATGAGGGACGGGAAGCCCGTCAAGATTACCGCTGCTGCTTGAGTAGTTGATTGGCTGATTCATTTATTGATCAAACGATTGTTTGATTTCTGCATTGACATATTCATTGATTTATTTATCTACTTTTTTGGATTTTTTCGATTTAGCGAAAGATTATTGAATTCGCGATTTATTCGGTTACTTGACAACAAGTATAAACTGGCTTTTTCGCGTTCATTCAAATTTGTTCGATTTCGCCGTTTTTTCACTCGCTGCGACTTTTTTCGTCCACGCGGGCGGAGGCTTCGTGCCAAAAAAAAGAAAAAAAAAAATCTTGCTTTGTTTCTCGCGGCGGTCGCTGAGCTTTCTCTCTGTGTTCTTTTGTTCGCTCCTTTTTTTTGTTCTTAATTTCGAAATTTTTAGAATTCTCGTTTCACCTTTTTCGCTCGTTTCTTCCATCTCTTCAGTTTGTAGAGAGATTGCCGGAATTTTTTTTATTTTTTTTTTTTATTTTTTTTTTAATTTGTTGGCTTGTTTTTCAGTTGTATGCCTTTGTCTTGCTGGGTGCTGTAGATGGGCGAGGCGCAGACGGAGACGACAGCGGAACTTAGTCTTTGTCTTTGTCTTGCTGGGTGCTGTAGATGGGCGATGGTTCGAAATGATCTGTTGTTCTCCGTTATATCTAGCCCACGTGATGTGTTTCGAGGGTGCTTGCTCTCGAGTTTCCTCGCCCCCCCCCCTCCTGCTATCTTTCTCTATTTGAGACATCCCTTTTCTTTGAGGCAAGTTGTTTTGATCGAGTTATGTTCGCATCCTGACGGCCAACCCTTTGACCAAACTTCCTTCTTCTTCCGATTTTCTTCCTTTTCCCTTGATTTATCCCGATCTGATTTCCCGACCTGATATCCCGATCTGATACCCCTTTCTGATATCCCGATCTGACATCCCGATCTGACATCCCGATCTGATATCCCGATCTGATGTCGTCAGTCCCACGTGGTGATGATTGTCCTTCTCGTCCCCCTGCTCATTTCCTATCCTCCTCTCTCGTCCTTGTTCTCTCCAATCCAAATTCTCAGTGCCTGCTTTCTTTCCCACCGGCAAAATTGTCTGGATGCTCTCGTTGGACCGTTCTCTCCCTTCTCCTTCTCTCGGTTTTCTCTTTCCTTTCTCCTCTTTCTCCCTTCTTTCAGTTCCCTTCCTTCTCCGTCTTCTCGTCCTTCTCTCCCTTTCTCTCTCCGTTTTTTCTCCCTTCTCTCCCTTCTCCCTACTCCGTTTTTTTCTCCCTTCTCTCCCTTACCCGCCTGCTTCCCCCTCCCTTCTCCCTTGTCCATCTTTTTCTCCCTTCTCGCCTTTCTTACTTCTCCCTTGTCTTTCTCTGCCTCCTCTCTTCTCTTTTGGCCCTTCTCATTGACTGCTTCCTCTCCCATTCGCAATATTTTGTCCCGAAGCTTTTGCTCGTTGGATTTTCCCTCTTCTCTCTATTCTTTATTTTCTCTCCCTTCTCTCTATTCTCTCCCTTGTCTCCCTTGTCTCCCTTGTCTCCCTTGTCTCCCTTGTCTCCCTTGTCTCCCTTGTCTCCCTTCTCTCCCTTCTCTCCCTTCTGTCCCTTGTCATTGCCTGCTTCCTCTGCCATTCGCAATATCTTGTTCCGATGCTTTTGCTCGTTGGTTCTTCACTCCCTTCTCTCTACTCTCTATTTCTCTCTTCGCTTTYTCTCCCTTCACTCTCCTTTCTCTGCCTTCTCTACCTCTCCTATACCTCTCCTCTACCTCTTGTCTCCCTTCTCCATCTCTCTCTCCCGCTTCGCCGTTCTCGCTTCTCCTTTCTCTTCGTTCTCCACGTCGATCGACTTTCCCCCTGCTTGTAGCTCGTTCTTTCCTCTCCGTTTACTACTCTTTTCTTTCCTTGTCGTCTTTGCTTATTATTACAAACTTGGTCGTTCTAACATCCGCTCTTTTTTTTGCGTTCCTTTCTCCTTTCTCCTTGAGATTCTCCTTGAGATTCTCCTTCCGATTGTCTGTCGTCATCCAGTTGCTCTTCGCGTATATCTACCTCTTCACCAAATCATCGTCCTTCACGCCGACTACGATCGCCTGTATGCTATTCCCTTTTCTCTCTTCGTACTCTTCTCCTACCTTTTTCCTCCCCACCGTTTTCATCCGCCTTGTATCCCTCCCAGTCTATCTAGTTTAACTTTGTGTTCGTCCGTAGTCGGCTTCTTTCCACTTCCTCTCCACTTTGCCATAGCCATCGCCGTAGCCAACGCCATCGCGATCACCTCGTTCGTCTCTACCTCTTTATCATACCATCGTCCTCCACGCCGACTGTGATCGCCTGCGTGCTAGTCCCTCCCTTTTTCCCTTCGCTTCACGCTCAGTTCGCCCTCCTTCCTGCTCACCACCTTCTTCATCCTCCTTGTTTCCGCACCGCTCTTGCTAGTTTATAGTTAGGTTTCTTCACGGCGATGTATCCCGCTCTCTTTCTCCTTCGTGATCCTGCTCGTCCTGCAAATAGGGGCGTCAAGTGGGGTGGGGKGGGGGGGGRCAGAGAGTGAAGGTAGGGAGGAGGGGGGGTTGATAAATAAAGAGGGGGAGGAGGACGGACTGAGGATGAAGAGATGGGATGAAGGCGGAGGGGAATGAAAATGCGGTGGGCCTTTCGTCTTACCCCGAGCATAAGGTACGCAATCCCAGTGTTACCAGAATGGCCCGGGACCACTTGCACGGCCGGGCCAAAAATAAATTACAAAATGAAAAAACTGTAAAAAAGCTTAATTTTTTACTTTCTAATCTTGTTCAGTCTGTTATTCTGCAGAAAAAGACTTTTAAAAAAAAAAATTTAATTATCAACAGGTACCTTCCCTGGCCCTTGCCCGGCCCGCCGCCCGGGCAACCAAGGTGACCCGGACGGCCAGGTAGGTAGGTAACACAGGCTGCCGGTGACACTATAGATGTAAGTGGCGCTACACAGGGGAGGAGCGGGTGGGGGAAGAGAGAGAGAGTAAGAGAAGGGGGATGAAGAGGAGATAAGAAGGAAGGAGAACTGGAAGAGGAAGAGAGTTGGGATGGAGGCAGAGGCTCTACCGTCAAACTCCGGGCGTACAGGAGGGGTATTGTAGCTATAATTGGCTCGGGAATTGGCGTGATTTCAGTGATGATGACCATGCTTGTTATGCTCGGTGGAAGACTGCCGGCGTCGTTCGAGATGCAGGTGTTCATTCCCAAAAAAAAAAAAAAAAAAAAAAAAATTGCAGAGGCTCAGTTTGGGTCAAGGCTTGGAGTAGTTTGGGTGAAAGTTACTGTAGCAATTTTACCCGTCCGCGCAGGTATGTTGATGACAGTGAGTGGCCGTTGCTCGGCACTAGCACCGCGGCCAATTTCCCCCGTCGGCAATGCCTGCTCACCCCTAGTCACCGTGATGAGGGACTGGTACAGGGCGTCGCCGCACGGGACACGAAACGAAAACCGAAACGAATGCATCTTCCCGCACAAATGGCCAGGTACGTCGGTTTGCTAGAAATAGTAAGGAGTGTATTTGCCAACCTACCCCGTGGGCTACCGTCTTCCCCCGAACACGGCGCACCCTCATTTTGGCTATATCTGGCCGGAAATATATATTGTATACATTCGTTTTTAGGGTGCGTTATGTTCGGGGGAAGACGGTAGGGAGAGATCCGGGTTGGTTGGTGTTCCCCCGTACTATACGTAGACATAGACTAGCGAGAGGATGAGATGGATGTGTACTGGCAATTTTATTTATTTATTTATTTATTTATTTATTTTTTTGGCAAGAAGATGAGATCGATGAGAGAAGAACATAGGTTACTTAATTTAAAGGGGAAGATCACAAACAAACACGTTTTTTTTTTTTTTCAAATCAAACAAAAAACACGTTTGTTTTTTTTTTTCAAATCAAACAAAAAACACGTTTGGCAGCTGCCCAGCCTCTTCTAAAAAGGGAAAAGTGACAAAAAAGTGAGATCGTCCGTGACGGGTCAGCGGCAAGTATACCGCCTGGTACCTCCTTTTGCAACAGAGGCCCCGTGGGCCTTGAAGCTCTTGACTCAGGCTACCGTCTTCCCCCGAACACARCGCACCCTCATCTTGGCTGTACCGGACCGGAAATATAGCTTGCATACGTTCAATTTCAGGGTGCGTTATGTTCGGGGGAAGACAGTAGGCTGACCGGTCCCCTGTTATGAAAGCAGTTAACGGCCGGTAAATGAGCACAGAAGCCTACGAGAAGGGTTTTTTTGCAAGTTTACCGTTCCGGTATATTTTGCCAGTAACGAAAGCAGTTACCGGCCGGCAAATGTGCACAGAAACCCACGTAATGGGTATTTTTGCAAGTTTGCCGTACCGGTATATGGGTCAGATCCCACTACCCTGGATTATTCATTTTTCACCCTCGATTACGAAGATCAACGGTCAGAAATGAACAATAGGAGGTAGTGGGATCTGGCCCTATTTGCCAGCAAGGAAAGCAGTTACCGGCCGGTAAATGTTGTGCACAGAAGCGTGCGAAAAGGGTATTTTTGCAAGTTTACCGTACCGGTATATTTGCCTGCATACCTGCTTTTTTTTTTGTTTTTTAACCAAACACAGTTTCTGCTATTTGCCGAAATTTGGCTAAGATCAAGTGTAGTATCTGTTCTGATCAGTTTAATATGTGATCTGTGGTCTATCGGACCACATATTAAAAAAAAGAAAAAAGAAAAAGGAAGAACGAATGAGTGGCTAAAGAGTAAACATCTGATATTCTGAAAAATGGAAAATGAGTGGCTGGCTGTCCTGTCCAGATTTGATAGGTAATGACGTGAAGGGGAAAGAGGACTCAGTCCTTTGGGACATCCGTTAAAATTGGAACGATACAGAGAAGAAAGATTAGCATGGCCCCTGCGCTTTCAAGGATGACACGCATAAATCAAGAAATGGTCCAAATTAAAAAAAAAAAAAAARAAAAAAAAAAAAAGAAAAAAAAAAAAGAGGACTCAGAGGAGCCATCTGCTGGAGGGGGGGTTACTGAAGTATATGCTGCTCAGACCACCCCCTGCAGCAACTCCGACAGACGGGGAAGAAAAAAAAATGGTGAGGGGGGAAGAAACAGAACGAGGGTTAGAAAGGATTGCAGTCAAGGGATAAGAGTATGGAGGGGAGAAAACAGTAAAAAGAAATAAGGAGAGAGAAAGGAATGCCAACACAGAAGATGGGAACCGTTGGACGGAGAGGAGGAGGGAGAGGGGGCTAGAGATGAATTGCGATTTTCTTTTATTATTATTTTTGTTTGAAAACAGAGGGAAACTTCTTTTTTTTTTTTTTTTTTTTTTTTGGTTTTAAATAACCCTGATAAGGGGGTGCTGATAAGAGCAGACACCACTAGCACCGTCGGGGAGGCTCCGTCTATTGCTGGGGAGCATGGAACATCAACTGCTGGAAATGGGGTCCAGCGTCCCTGTAGAGTACAATGTAAGAAACAAAAGTAATGAAACTAAAGGAATGCAAGTACGAGTTGCAAGTAGGGATATGAGGGGGTGAGCGACAAAGCGCCCAGCCCTCTATCAGACCTGTTCGGATGTAGAATTCAGAGAGCTGTCGCTCATAGTGTTGTTATTGTGACCCGGTTTTTTTTTTTTGTTGTTGTTGTTTTTTTTTTTTTGACCCGGTTTTGATTTTGTAACCTGTTAACTGTGA